TCCTGCCTCTCCTCCTGAGGCTGGCTGGGGTCACAGACTTGTACTACCATTTGAATTTTACACATTTTCTGTTTGTATGTTTGTGTGAGACAGGGTTTCTCTGTACAGGCTTGCCTGCCTGTCCTGTAACTTACTCTCACAGAGAGCTAGCCTCAAATTTACAGAGGATCAGCCTGCCTTTGCCTCCCAAACCCTAGGGTTAAAGACATGCACCACTACCATTTCTTTGTTTGTTTGTTTGTTTTATTTTTTGTTTTTTGAAACAGGGCTTCTTCTCTGTGTACCTTTGGAGTCTATCCTGGCACTCGCTCTGTAGACCAGGCTGCCTCTGCCTCCCAAGTGCTGGGATTAAAGGAGTTCGTGCCAAACGCCCAGCCCAGTCACATTTCTTATTGAAGACTTTTAAATTAAGATTTCAGGACTACTTTTTTTACTAGCATTACCAACTGTTAAGGATCTCTTTCTCTTTGTCAGTTTCTATGTTAGCATCAATGTTTTAGTGTTTTCCTTACTAGCACATTCATGAAATGAAACTCATATATTAAAGCATAATACTAACTTGTATTCTGTTCCACAATTCCTTTGTTCTCTGAGCTCCAGCTCTAAATGCATAATCTACAAAACAGCAGCATCATTTCTTATTTTTTCCCTAGGTATATATATAAAGATTATTAATTACTGAGGACTTAAAATCTATGATTGTCTTAGCCTGTGGGGTAAACTGTGGGGTAAACCCATCATCATTGCTATGTCTTAGAAAATAGTAGAAAGGGCCCAGCAAGGTAAATGTGCTTGCTGCCAAGTCTGACAAGCTAAGTTCTAGTCCCAGGACCCACATGGTAGAAAGAGAAAATTGACTCCCTAAAGTTGTCCTCTGACTTCCAAGTGTATACTGTGGCATGCTTGTAAGTGAGCATATACAATACATAATTCTCTTTTTAAAGAAAAAATACTTAAAAAGCAGAAATGCAACACAGTATCAAATTTTCAACAAATTTTCAAAACATTGTGCTGACACTATACCTGACTGCCTGATACACTACCTGATACTTTTTTTTTTGCTTTTTGGCTTTTTGGCTTTTTGAGACAGGATTTCTCTGTATTGTTTTGGAGGCTGTCCTGGAACACGCTCTGTAGACCAGGCTGGCCTTGAACTCACTGAGCTCCGCCTGCCTCTGCCTTAAAGGCATGTGCCACCAACGCCTGGCTACCTGATACTTTTAAGAACTCGGTATCATCTGTTTGTCAGGAGCCAGTGGGCTATGGAGGATTGAACTACAATAATCAAATCATTGCACATTAGTATCTTACACATAATGCCAACACATTATTTTCTTAATTAAAAAAAATGTTTTAGCCGGGCGTTGGTGGCGCACGCCTTTAATCCCAGCACTCGGGAGGCAGAGGCAGGCGGATCTCTGTGAGTTCGAGGCCAGCCTGGTCTACAGAGCGAGTTCCAGGACAGCCTCCAAAGCCACAGAGAAACCCTGTCTCGAAAAAACCAAAAAAAAAAAAAAAAGTTTTAATTTTGGTCAGGCAGTGGTAGTACATGCCTTTAGTCCCAGCACTCAGGAGGCAGAGGTAGGCGGACCTCTGTGAGTTCAAGGCCAGCCTTGTCTACAAAGCTACACAGAGAAACCCTGTCTCAAAAAAAAATTAATTTCATGTGTACAGGGGTTTTGCCTGTATGTATGACTGAGTACCACCTGCATACCTGGTGCCTGTGGAGACCACAGAGGACATCAGATCCCTGGCACTGGGGTTATAGACGGTTGGTTGTAAGTCACTATGTGAAGACTGGGAATCGAACCATGCACCTATGAAAGAGCAGTCAATACTCTTAACCTCTGAGTTCTCTCTACAGCTCCTAGTTTAAAAATTTAAGACACTACATTGTGGTATGCATTTAAGTGTATGTATATATATATATACGTGTGTGTGTGTGTGTGTGTGTGTGTGTGTGTGTGTACATACACAGAGATATGGTATGTCTTTCTCAAGAATATTCATACACAAATGCCGAAGGAGAAATGCATGCAAGGGTACAGGGAGAAGGGGCCATGTCAGAAAGGTAAGAGAAGGCTCCTATGGGAAAAGATATAATTGAGATTTAATAAAACAGAAGCTAAATAAGAGAATGAAGCGCATGAGGTCCCTGCAGGACAGAAGAACGTGCAGTGGCTTCCTGTGGTGAGAGAAAGAGCAGGGAGCAGAGGACAAAATGGAGGATTCACCCAAGGGGAGAAAAAGACAATGAGGGGCCTTTTAGGACACGTTAAGGATTTCTACCTTATGTGAGGGCAGCGAGAAAGACTGGGTATGGAGGTACATGTCTACACCCCACTACCCTAGAAGCGAAAGCAGGAGGATGGATGGTTCAAGGCCAGCCTAAACAAAGGCGAGGCCCTGTCTTAAAAATAAAAAAAAGCCAGAAAAGGGCTCTAAGCAGAGATGATGAAAGATTTTGTACTTTCACAGACCAGGACTGTATGAATGGAAGGTACTAGCAGAAGTGGGAAGCCAGCTTAAGAAGCTACTGCAGTAACCCTGAAGGACAATGACAGCCAGAATCAGTTACAGCAGAAGAAAAGTAAAAAGACTGGGTAGCTAATTACAACTGAAGCTGGTGGGGAGCTCAAGGAGGTCACCCTGATTTCAGGTTCCCATAAGCAGGTGAGTCAAGATGCCACCACCAAGCACAATAGCACAAGCCTTTAGTCCCGACACACAGGAGGTAGAGGCTAGAGGATCTCTGTGGCTCCAAGGCCACCCTGTCTACACAGAAGCTCCAGAACAGCCGGGCTACACAGTGAGACCTTGTCCTTAAGTTGTTTCCAAGAGATGCTATCTCTCCCTGAAAGACGGTGGGAGCATTCCAGGCAGACTCCCAGGCTGTGCTGTTTAATTCCTAGGGACTGGGAACAAGGTGAAATGCAAACGGGAAGGAGAAAAGGTTCTTCCAGTGTGTGGAAGCTAGTACTAGAGGTCAAAAGAGATGGAAAATGAATACACCAAACGAGTGAGGAGAAAAAAAGGAGACAGGCCTGCAAAGTCAGCCATAAAACACACTTACACATTCCTAGTCCTCTCTACCACTTAAAACCTTTGGAATCATTTCAAAATAGAGTAAGAGATTTAATATGTAATACCTGGGAGAACAAAAGATTAGTATGAAAGAATTTCAAAGTATATTACTGAGATAACAGAAATTTTTCAGTTTTGACAATGAGGGAAAGATGGAAAATGCCTGTGTGGGGGGGAGGAGGAACTGAGTGCCAGCCTGGAAGAAGGGAAGCAGAGCGGAAGACTGACGACTCCACTTCTCGAATTTTCACAGTTTAAGCACGTTTTATCTTCACCTCTGGACAAATGGCTGTTCTCGTCCTCGTGTGCTAAGGGAATGCAGAAATAGCTCCATACTTCAGGCCCTTATTTGAAATCATGGTTTCCACCGCCCTCATGTGGTAGCAATGAGGTACTGCACCAACATATACAGGCCCCTGAGAATGTCCACATGAAGTTCATGGTATAATAATTAATCCATAACCAAAGACTTAAAGATTGCAGTGGCAGAGGGCAAACTGGGAATAGTGCTTGTCAAGGGATTTATCTTGTAGACTAGCAACAGACAAAAACCTATGGTTTTGTTATTAACGGGGGATAACAAAAAAGATGTCATCTTTTTATTCTTTTTTCATGCTAAAAACCATATTTAGCAATTCCAGGACACCCCATCTGATACTGTCATTTCAAATCCAATTCATGGTATATTTGGCTATTTACAATGTCTCAACTTTATTTTAGTGGCATGTACAAATGGATTAATGAACATTCCTGGCACACATTAAAACCGTATCACAAACATTAGTAATTGTCTCATTGAGTAAGTAAAATTCCCTTTGTTATCTTTAAATTAATAAACTGATTTTTCACTACCTAAAACAATACAAGTCACAGTAGTAAACACAATTCAGAAACTGTCAGGCTCCCAAAACTGATCTAAACAAATATATCACCGATACAATCAACTTAACACTAGTCACACATACACAAAAAAAACATGGCGAAGGTCTAATACATCATTCCTGACAGTTCTCTTCACGGTGAGAAAACACGATTGCCCAATATAATGATTGGCATTCTGGGAATGACTGAATTCTCTACCTTCCTTTTAATAAACTGAAAATTCATTTATAAATGTATTCTTTTAAAACTGTTTACACACATATCATTTTGACTTTGGGCTATTTTATTTTTAAGGCACGTGAACTCAAAAGGCCAGAACATGAAATTATAGCAATAGGTATATTTTTCCAATTTTCAGTTTTGACACCAGGGTCACATCATCATCATTTGTTTCCTTATATTCTTGATCTTTATCTCCCCCTTTAAAATCTACACACCATTATCCATTCTGTCTCTGGACATCCCCAAATATTAATGATTCAACCGTTTCCCATAGTCTGTTGGTTTCTTTCCCTTATACTCCCCAGCCAACATTCACATACACAGACACACACACAAAACATACACACACACACACACACACACACACACACTCTCTTTCACAAGCTCATTCCATTTCAAATTACCCAACTCTCACACAGTTAGGTGGCTTTTTTTTTTCTTTTAAACACAATCACTCCTTGTATCGCTCTTGTCTCCTCTCCTTTAATTTGGCACTCTTTTCCAAATAATTTTCCACAACTGAACCCCAATGTCTTCCTTTCACAACCTCAAACTGCGGAAGGGGAAAGATTAGGAACCGGACCAGCAAAACATTTGGGGATGTCAAAGAGACAGTGGCCTCTCCTTCGAGAGGCAAACACAACTCTCAACACGGAGCAGTCGAGACTTTTCTTCAGGCGTGCTCCGGTCCCCCTCCTGACCTCAACGCCACCTTCCCGGTGCTGTGCCTCCCCGTCCTCGGCTGTGCGTCCGAGCCACAGCCAGAGCCCGGCGGCCGCCGCCTCCTCGCCGGCAGCTGCCCCACCACTCACCTGGCAGGTGCGGCCGTCCGGAGAGCTGCACGAATCGGTTGAGCTGGCCGGTGCCCCGACCCCCGCCGGCCGCGCCGGCCCCGCTACCCCCGCTGGCCCCGCCGGCCGCGCCTCCTCCGCGCCGACGGTTCCGGTCCCAGCCCTGAGCAGCCGACATGGCCCGCTAACGATTGCCGCAGCCCGGTCCCGGCAAGCCCCTGTCCCGGCAGCGCGAGCCGAGCCTCCTTCCCGGGCTCCTCAAGAGACCGGGGAGACAGGGGCCGGGGGAGCGCCGGGCTCGCCGGCAGCCAATGGCTGGCCGCCTTGGTGACAGACAGCCAATGAACACTAGCTTTCTTGGCAGGTGCAGGGAGGCGGGGAGAGACGTGGTAACCATAGCTATAGCTAAAAACGGGCGGGGGGGGGAGGAAAGGCGAGAGCAGTCGCTCGCAGAGCGCATCGACTTCCCGGCGCTATCCCGCTTCGCCGCCACTCGGGGTCCTCAGACCAGCCAGTGGAAAGCCGAGCGGGAGGCTACGCCTGAAGAGACTCCCAGACAGGGCGGCTACCCCGGGCATGGTCGGTACTCCAGAACTCTGTCCCATACATAAGCACTGTATTCAGAAGTCTCTTATGTACCCAACGCGTGTATCTGCTGTCAGTATGTCTGTCCGCAGCTCTGCAGACTGACATCCCGACTGATGGCACACACAAAGGGCTCACGGGGGTGGGGTGGGGGGCGGAGTCAGAGATGAAATCTAAAAAAAAAAAAAAAAAAAAAAACGAGATATTCCCGGGTTTCATCATTTGTTTTGTCTCTTAGTGGCTTTGGCAGGACCCGTCCCCCGTAGAAGCCGCGTCCCGAGAAAACAGCTTTAAACCGTGCAATCTTAAGAGTAATCATAGAAACACAAATGAAAACTCCATTGACAAAACCTTTCAGGCTCCTCGCATTCATCAGTGAAGATCTTTAAATAACACCCGGCTTGTGTGTGCCGTGCCAAGAAAAAGATCTTCTCACAGATAACCGATGACCGTGTAGATGTTTTTGCTGGGGGGTGGTCGCAACCAACCTCAATCCTTTTACGATATACAACAGTGAAAGACATGTACAATTAAATGACAGCAAATGGGACAGATGATGTAATTTTAAGGATCAAATGTATATATCAGAAATTCCCATTGTTCCAGAATTGAACAGAAAATTTGGCTTTGAACTTGGGGAGCGCAGTGCAAAGTGGGAAAATGCAGATACACTCTGGTGTTCCCAAATAAGGAAGAAACATAAAAAATTCTCGAGGGAAACAAAACTTCTCAAGGTTCTGAGATCTGATCTGATGAACTGCAGGCCCCCTTGATGAGTCACACAGGAGAACCTCACACGTTGGATTTTTTTTCCTTTTTTTTTTAATGATGGGGGTGGGGCTGGGATGAGAAGTATCCTCTGATCCCAATGAGCAAATTTCATGTCACCACGAGACTTGTGTTATTGTATCCCCACACCCAGTTTCCATAGGAAAAGAAGTGTTTTATCCATCATGCACTATAAAGCAGTTTATTTAAAAAGAATTTACCATCTGGGGAAAAAGGAAGCTTTCCGTGCTAGGGAATGCAGTTGCTTCAATAAGTTGCCTAGCACATACCAAGCCCTGGGTGCAGTCCCCTCCGCCTTCTAAAACACCATGGTGGTGCCTTTGTAACCCCAGCACTGAGGAGATGGTGGCAGGAAGACCAGGCATTCAAGTCCAATCTCTGATCCATAGCAAGTTCAAGGCCTGCCTTACCCGCATAAACTCCTATCTCAAAAAAAAAAAAAAAATGACCAGGGGCTAGAAGGATGAGTACAGAGCACTGTCTTCCAGAGGACATGGGTTTGATTCCTAGTACCCGGTACCCACATATCACACCCATTTGCAACCCCAAATCCAGGACCAAACACTATCTTATGGCCTCCTCCAGCTGCTGGGCACGCCAGAGATGCACAGACAGACAGACATAAGCAAAACAGACATTTAAAATCTAATTAAAGTTTTTAAAGGTGAGCGGCAGGACTAAACAAAACTCCAGGGCTTGCCTCTAATCCCAGCCCTGCACTCCACTGATTGAAGCAGGAGGAGGCGCATGAGTTCAAGTCCCTCGGCTGTGTAATGAGTTTAAATAGAGTCTATGACACATGAGACTCCCCCAACCACCCCCAAAAACAAACTCTGTGACTCTAAACTATGAAAAACAAAATTAAAGAGCATCAACTTTTCTTTCTTTCTTTCTTTTTTTTTTTTTTTTTTTTTGGTTTTTCGAGACAGGGTTTCTCTGTGGCTTTGGAGGCTGTCCTGGAACTCACTTTGTAGACCAGGCTGGCCTCGAACTCACAGGCGGAGCTCCATGAGTTCGAGGCCAGCCTGGTCTACAAAGTAAGTTCCAGGACAGCCTCCCAAACAATACAGAGAAACCCTGTCTCGAAAAAGCAACAACAACAACAACAAAAAAGTTGTGGACATGGTGGTGCACACCTTTTTTTTTTTTTTGGTTTTACGAGACAAGGTTTCTCTGTTTTGGAGGCTGTCGGTCCAGCCTGGCCTGGAACTCACAGAGATCCACCTGCCTCTGCCTCCTGAGTGCTGGGATTAAAGGCGGTGGTGCACACCTTTAATTCCAGTCACTCAAGAGGTGGAGGCAGGAGGATCCCTATGAATTCGAGGCTAGCCTGATTTACATAGTTGCAGGCCAGCCAGAGCTGCACAGTGAGGAGGTGGAGAGATAGCTTAGTTAAGGCACTGGCTGCTCTTCCAGAGGACCTGTGTTCCACATGGTACCCCCACAACCTTCTGTAACTCCAGTTCCGAGACATTCAACACCCTCTTCTGGCCTCTCTGACCGTCAGAAACATGGTATACAGTCACACATGCAAACCCTGACACATATACATTAAAAAAACAAAAACAAACCTTGGAGTGGGTGGTGATGATGCAAGCCTTTAATCAAAACACTCAGGAGGCAGAGGCAGGCCGATCTCCGTGAATTCAAGGCCAGCCTGGTCTATGAAGTGAGTTCCAGGTCACTCAGGATTGTTACACACAAAAAAAACTCTGTCTCGGCCGGGTGTTGGTGGCGCACGCCTTTAATCCCAGCACTTGGGAGGCAGAGGCAGGTGGATCTCTGTGACTTCGATGCCAGCCTGGTCTACAAGAGCTAGTTCCAGGACAGCCTCCAAAGCCACAGAGAAACCCTGTCTCAAAAAAACAAAAACAAAGACAAAACAAAACAAAACAAAACAAAAAACTCTGTCTTGAAAAACAAAAACAAACAAAAAACTTTAGGAAAGAAAATTGTGTGGAAATATTTATAGCTAACCCTCTATTATAGAGCTAGAAAAATTGCTCAGTGGTTAAGAGCACTGGCTGTTCTTTCAGAAGGCTCAAGTTTAGTCCTCAGAACACACATAGTAATCCATGACCATCTGTAACTCCAGTTCCAGGAGATCTGATGCCCTCTTCTGGTCTCCCCAGGTATACAGACAAACATGCAGGCAAAACACCTCCGCACATAAAAGTAAATAAATAAATCTAAACCCCTGATATTACTATCTAGTATGTGTTTAGAATAATTAGAGATGGGAGCGGGGCAGGGATGAGGTAGAGTGGGGTGGAGGACCCTGGAGGAGATGATAATTCAAATTAGAATTGAAAAGCGTTTAAAAAAAGTTCCTGAAGGGACACTTCTAGGTTACACTGTGTGGACTATGAACCTTGACTGACAATGACGTGTCAACCCTGGTTCATCGATTCTAACAAATGAGCTACACTCTGGCACAGCAGAGACAGGATGGCTGTGATCTCTCTGTACTTTCTTTTTTTTAAGATTTATTTATTTATTATGTGTACGGTATTCTGCATGTATGTCCACAGGCCAGAAGAGGACACCAGATCTCATTATAGATGGTCGTGAGCCACCACGTGGTTGCTGGGAATTGAACTCAGGACCTTTGGAAAAACAGTCAGTGCTCTTAACCTCTGAGCCATTTCTCCAGCACCGAACTCCCTGTACTTTCTATTTAACTTTCTGTGAACTGAAAATCACTCTGAAAAAAGAAAGTCATTTGATTAAAAGTGGGATCTGTGGGAAACCCTGACCCAGGGCCTAGGAAAAACTAGAGAAATCTTCCCTGGAGATAGTCTAAAGACAGCCCTACTGTGGGGGGTACGATGAACTACAGAACCTATTGTTTGTTTGAGAGAGAGTCTGTTTTTCTTCTCCGAGACAGGGTTTCTCTGTATTGTTTTGAAGCCTGTCCTAACTAGTTCTGTAAATCAGGCTGGCTTTGAACTCACAGAGATCTGACTGCCTCTGCCTCCTGAGTGCTGGGATTAAAGGCAAGCGCCATCATTGAAGGAGGGGTTGGGGGGAGTCTTATGTAGCTCAGGCTAACCTGGAGCAAAGGATGTCCTATGTAGCAATGGATAAAAAATGTTGAACTTAATACCCTCCTTCCTCCACTTTCCGAGTGCCATTATGCCGAATTAATTTATATGATGTAGGCTAGGCGAGCACAATCCCAACTGAGCTACATCCCCCTCCCCCAGGGCCTTTAACACCGCCCCCCATGCTCAATTAAACATTTGATTACTATTAGAGCATAAAAGCGTCGTGTTTAAGCCGGGCGGTGGTGGCGTAGGCCTTTAATTCCAGCTCTTGGGAGGCAGAGGCAGGCGGATCACTGAGTTTGAGACCAGCCTGGTCTACAAGAGCTAATTCCAGATCAGCCTCCAAAGCCACAAAGAAAATTCTTAGCTGGGCAGTAGTGGTGCACACCTTTAATCCCAGCACTACAGAGGCGGAGGCAATTAGATCACTTTAAATTGGAGACTAGCCTGGTCTACAGATTGAGTTCCAGGCCAGCCAAGGCTGCACAGAGAGACCCTGTCTTGAAAACAAACAAAAAAATTATTAACTTAAAAATATGCTAGTTCACCTGAGAAATCACCTACTTCGTTCAGTGTGTTAAACATTATACTCTTTTTTTTTTTTTTTTTTTTTTTTTTGGTTTTTCTAGCCAGGTTTCTCTGTGGCTTTGGAGCCTGTCCTGGAACTAACTCTGTAGACCAGGCTGGCTTCGACCTTACAGAGAGATCCCCCTGTCTCTGCCTCCCGAGTGCTGGCATTAAAGGCGTGCGCTACTACCGCCCAGCCCTATAATCACTCTTAATTCATGTTAGATAACCAGGAAGGGGTGGGACCTGAGATCAATATTTTGAGAGGCCAGAGGGGTGGGTCTTAACCCAGAACGGAAGTTCCTGAGCCTCCAAACGCGTGGGGACAG